TGTAATATGTATCACTGAAACCTAACTAGATCCTTCCATAGACGATGTAACATTAGGACTTAAAGACTATAATATTTGGAGAAAAGATAGGGTAGATGGGAATGGAGGGGGTAGAAATATTAACAAGGAAAGAAATTATTACAAAGGAGTTAGAAATTAATCAAGAACCTATAGTGGAACTGAAGGCAATTGAGGTAGAAACAAACGGGGTAAACATGATAACAACTACGGTATACGTTGTGGTCACAAAAAAATGATCAAAAACTAATTTAAGAAACATTAAAGAGCCTGGAAGAAGTACTACAACTTTCGGAAACCAATGCAAAAAAAATCTTATCACAGGAGATTTTAATAGCAAAATCGGCTGGGAAAGTTTCGATCCCAGAGCGCAACCACATTCGTGGAATGCTAAATTACTAGAAGTCATAAATGAGTATTGCCCTTTCCAGAATGTAACATATCATACCAGGTTAAGAGGGCTAGATAGGCGGTCTATGCTTGACCTAATATTTCCAAAATATAACGATGGTCTTAAGGATATCGAGTACTGTCCTCCTTTAGGAAAAAACGACCATGTACTGATTAATCTAAAATACTGGCTACTACAAGAAAAAATTGTAAACAAGAAAGGAAAAGTACAATTACAAAAGAGGTAATTATAGAAGCCTTAAAGATTTCTTTGATAGTATAAACTGGGAAACACTTCTGGGCGATGAGAACCTTGATCAATATTCAAAATTTTGTAAGATCTATAAAAAAAGGAGTGGAAATATTCATATCAAAATTCAAAACTGAAGCAAGAAAGGGCCAAAAATTGTTCAGTGACAAATGCTAGAAAATGAGAGAGAGAGAGAGAGAGAGAGAGAAAACCAGCTCTTTTTGAAAAGATTCAGAAGACTGAGATCTCAGGCAGCGTATGGAAGATATAAAGTAAGAAGAAATCATTAAACCCAAACCATGAGAGAGGCGAAATTAGACTTTGAAAAGGATTTCATCAACAAATGTGCATGTCAACCAAAGCTTCTTTAACTACATAAATAGAAAAACTAAAAGTAGAGATCAAATTAGCGCCATCAAGGACAATAACAATATTTAATCAAAGGAATGCGCTGAAAAACGATGTACTTCTTTATTGTTAATCTTCCAAAATTCACTGAGACCAAGTAAACTACCAAAAAGTTGGAAACTCGCTAATGTTACACCCTTATGTAAGAGTGGCGACAAACAAAACCCACTAAATTATAGACCAGTTTCATTAACCAGTGTAGTATGTAAGCTGCTAGAAAGTATGATTGGAAAACAATGGGTTGAAATACTTGAAAAACACGAAAAGATGTCAAATAAACAATTTGGTTTTAGAGAAGGACGCTGATGTGTAACAAATCTCTGTTTTTATGATAGAGTATCTGAAATATTACAAGAAAGAGATAGTTGTGTGGATTGTGTGTACTTGGACTTTAAAAAGGCTTTTGATAAAGTGTCTCACAAGACTACTATGGAAATTAGAGCACATGGGTGGGGTGAAAGGCAAACTACTCACATGGATGAAAATCTTTCTTCATGAAAGTCAGATGAGCACAGTAATTAGAGGGAAGCATTCTACATGGCGACAAGTCTCCAGCGGAGTGCCTCAAGGATTGTTGTTAGCGCCGATTATGTTTACCATTTTCGCCAATGATTTAGGGTAGTTATCTAAATACGTTTGCAGATGACGCGAAGATACAAAAAAGGATAACAGACAACGTCTCATGACAATGCCTCCAAAGTGACATTGAGAACTTATTCACAATGAGTTGTAAATGGAAAATGGAATTCAATACCAATAAATGCCACATAGTCAGGTTTGGAGAAAGTAGAAATCGCCCACTATTCCAATAGAAATTAGAAATAATATTAAACACAGCTGACAGGGAAAAAGATCTTGGGGTAATTATAAATAGAAACCTAAAACCAAATGATCATATAAATGAAAAGGTCATCAAAATGTTAGGACTGATTGCCAACATGAAGGCATTCGTGTATGTGGATGAAGATATAATAAAGATCATTATAGCAATCATACGACTAGAGTACAATGCAGTGGCATGGAGTCCACAATTAAAAAAGGATATAGACAAACTAGAAAGACTTCAAAGAGTGGCCACAAGATGGTCACCTACTTTAAGAGATATGTGTTACGAAGACAGACTACAGAAATTAGGACTCCTTGGAAGAAAGAAGGAAAAGGGGGACATGATTATGCTCTTCAACTGTATTACAGGAAGAGTAAAGATAGATAAAGAGGACTCTTTAGTCTTGAACATAAGAAAGACGAGAGGATACAACAAAAAGTTGAAGATAAAAAAAGGTGATAAAGATGTCAAAAAATTTAGTTTCCCAAACAGAAATATCGAAGCATGGAACAGTCTCCCCAAAAATGTAGTGTGTGACGAACATGTGCATCACTTTTAAAAGTTATATGACAATTTGGATATAACAAACCACCTAAGCTTAGCTCTTCCGTATTGAAATAACAAGGTAAGAACACATATATGTACAATGCCTTATATGTTACACACATGTAAGAGTGTGTGTGTTGTGTATATATATATATATATATATATATATTATATATATATATATATATATATATATATATATACACACCATATGTGTGTGTCTATATGTATATACTCGTATATATACATATATACATATATATATTGTTATGTTCTTTTGTTTTTTTTTATTTTAGGGGAAAAGGTTAACAAAATACGGAGCTCTGCTGAGCTGCACAAGAATATTCTGGATGTGCGTACAGCTCTAATGTTCCAGGTTCGAAAACACGCAAATGCTCGCAGTTACGCCTATCTAGAGTCGCACCTATGATCATTTTTGCTCACACCCAAAGTTCTTTCTCGAATATTTTTGAATTCCAACATCACTGATACAACAAAATAAAACAAAGTAAATTCATATTTAAAAAACGAACATAAATAACAATTAATTATTGTCACTTCAAAACACCGATATTAAAACGAAAACTGTCGGCATTGCTCGCATCATAATCTTTTTCCTACAGATCGCAGACCGTACAATGTCCAACCGGGATATTGTTTACATAAGGTTTATATACGCATGGAAATCGTAAGGGGGATTCGTGAGTTATATCATAACAGAAAGTACATAAGACATTATTTTGATATGATGTATAGTACTTAGTTGCAAAATGTGAGAATCTGTATTGTAGCAAAGATATAAAATGACATTCATTGACCTTTTGAAGTAACTGAAATTGCACCTGGGAATGCTTGGCAATTTACTGAAATGTAAAAAGTTGAACAATATCACCTTTTCAGTAATGTTCAAAGAGAATCTGGTAGGAACAGAGTACCTTCTTGGTTTGGGAATCAGGTGAGTATACTGGACATTATACTAGCACTTTCCTTAACACCTTTAAACTTAACACATCAACTGTTAAGAATGAACAAATTATAAGTTCAGGCTGTCAGGTTTCTTGATGGTACGGTTACATCTTGTTCTTGTGCTGTCATGGGTTGGTTCTTGTTCTTGAGGGACTACAGTAGGAGCCTTGTTCACACGATCTTCATTTTGATCCATGTACACTTCTGTTTCAGTAGACTCTTCTGCAGGTTTTTAACATGGAAGTTGATGTTCTGGCTAGGGTTTCTGCCTGATGTGTCGTCTATTTCTTCGTAAGATACCTCCGATCGAATCTCTTAAATATTTATCAACGACTGTAGCAGGTTTCTGTCTTCCAATTATGTGGTCTTGCATTTGAACAGCTTGACCTGGTAGAGGTGCTTGTTGGTCTTTTGCACCTCTGGCATAATTCTGCTTCTCATTTCGTAGACTTCTTGCTTCTGACCTTCCTCTGTAGGCAGGTGAAGGGGTAAGTTGCTCCTCATTTTCCTCCTGTCCAGAAGTTCTGCTGGTCTTGGCAACTTGGTAACCAGTGGTGTGGTATTTAAAGTTAATAATTCCATTTCCGGATCCTTGTTGCTTCTTTTTACCTTGTCGATAGGGTTCTTGACAGTCTGGATGATTCTTTCGATTAACCCAGTTGACCGAGGTTGGTAGGGTGAGCTTGTTACAAGCTCAAACTCTCGAAGCAAACGATGCGAAATCTTCTGAGCGGTATTGGCGTCCATTGTCACTGTAAACTTTTTCAGGGACTACATTCTCTGAAAAGAAATTCTTCAATGCGTTAATCACTGCCATGGGCATCTTCTTGATAACTGGAAACTGAATAATAGCTATAGTCAGGTACTCCTTTCTCCGTAATGAAAGAGATCTGTTTCAACATACTACCATGGTCTTGCAGGAAGTTCATGCAGGATGAGTGTTTTCTTTGTCTGTGACCTTAAAGATCTTTGGATGCATATATGTATATATATATATATATATATATATATATATATATATATATATATATATATATATATATATATATGTATATATGTATGTATATATATATACATACATACATACATATATATATATATATATATATATATATATATATATATATATATATATATATATATATATATATATATATATATATATATATATATATTATATATGTATGTATGTATGTATGTATGTATGTGTATATTTATATATATATGTATATATGTATATATATGTATGTATGTATATATGTATGTATACTGCTGGACAATGTCTTGAATGTCCTTGTTGAATGAAGTCAGTATACACAGTCTTTGACTCGGAAGTTGGCACTTCGTGAGGCCTCAGTGCCCTTGGTGGGTATGGCAGAGCACAAGTTTCTTCATAGATGCTGGGATGATTACAACTCTGCTACCTTTTATCAGAAGCCCATCCTCGACAGACTACTCGTCTCTGAAGGACCAATATATATGTTTAATATATATGTACACACACACACACACACACACACACACACACACACACACACACACACATATATATATATTATATATATATATATATATATATATATATATATATATATA